ATTCATTCCCAACTACTCACGGCTCTACTGTTTTTTAATAGTAGAGATCCTAAGCCATATTCCCACCTGCCTTACACATATTGGTATCTTTCTCCTTCTCCTCAATGCTCCAGATCGACTCCTGGTGAGCAGTGCTTTTCAAGGGGTAGCAGTGGGGGATGGGAGGTAGCAGCAGGAAAAAAAATCTCTATAAGTAACTTAAAAACTATATAAATCGCCTGGCCCTCCTCGCAATCCTGGCACATCCTTTCTCCCAGGGAGAGGTTGAACTCAGGAGACTTTGTGGATGGGAGTTTGTGTGAGGAAAAGGACTTGCCATACACTCACTGCCTTGCAGTTCCTCTGTGCCTCCTCCTTCAAAGGACAGGGTCCTGGGGAGCCAGGAGAGCAGAAGAAGAGAAAGGGATGGCTTCCCTCTAGTACACATGGATGGAATTAGACCTCACTGTTCTCAAAGTAAAGGGCAAGTATTTTCATTTCTATCAGCTGCATTATGATTATTATATTCTACAGTGGAAACTTTGGGCCTCTGTAAAGCTATCAAGGCCTACTCCACTCCACCAATCCAATTTTTTTTCCCCCCCTCTTCCCTAACAAATACCTTCTGCTCAGGAGGGCCAGGAATGTCTCACCATCTGTGGCACATGCCTCCTCAGCCCCACACCTAGAACCTGAGGCTGCTGCTTCCCCAAACCAGAACTTTCTCTATCCAAAGCTTGTCTTCATTTCAAATGACAATTTCTCTCTCACCTCCTCCAAGAAGCCCTCTATAATCACTGGAGCCCATCCTGACCTACCTCCTTTTTCTCCTACTCTTAGAAGCAATCCTGCATGGTTTAGCATTTAATTATTCTCCAATTACTTAATTTACCTAGCATTTCCTGTACACTTTGCCACTCATGAAATTGCTAGAAGGAAAGCTATTACCGAAATCTAAAAACTAATTTTTGACTATTCTAAACCCTAAAGGTGATACATTTGTTTTAATAAGATAGGGACCCCTCTGATACTAATCAAACAACTGTATTCAAAGGCATGGCCAGTTAATTATAAACTATTATATTATCATGTTTCCTGGTCAAGGTCTTGATAACTAAGGATTATACCTAAAGGTTTGAAAAGAGTATAAAACTTTTTAAATATTAAAATCATTTGGTAATTTTTTTTTTTTTTTTTACATTCACTTTTGCACACACACTATTTCATGGGCTGATAACTGCCAGTGCTATTTACAAGGGTGACTTACACACCATCCCCACCAAAAAGTCTTCCTCTTTCTCTACCCTTCATGTTTCATGTCATGCGGCCCAGGGCCTAGAGAGACCAAAGTGGGAAGCAGCTAAAGTGGGGTCATCCCTCCTCCCACTGCTCCCCTCCTCCACCCCGGGCCTATGGGGGCTTAGGGAGGGTGGACCAGATTGCAGGCGTGAGAATGGGAGACTGACGTTCAGCTTGGGCTTCCCCCTCCTGAATAAACCATTGGTCACTCAATAACAAAACAAACAAACAAAAACAACTATTCTCAAATCTCATCTTCCAGTCTGTGTAGGGATATCTAATTCTGTGTGTGGTCTCGTGTCAACTAAGGGGAAATAAAGGACAAGGTGACATAATTGTAACATTTGATAAATGAAACTTTTTCCTACAATTGTAATCATAAGAGAGATGAAATGTATCCAACATTGAGGTGTTTTTTAAAGAAGACAAGAATGGCGTACATATTCAATATAAATTAGATATCTCTACAGAGTGAAAGATGAGACATGAAAATAGTTTTGTCGGAATGGGAGAGTTAAAGATCATTTTCTTCTTTGCAAAATTCAATTGCATTTTTTTATTCATCTTTCTCCAAAAGCAATCTAGAAGGTCAACTATGTGGATACTGACTGATCAGGATGCCTCCATTACAAACTTTAGAAAAGAGCCAGATTTTTATATCTGAAAGTTTTAAGTTACTTACCAGCTTAGTGTTCTAAACCATGGTAGGTCATAAGAACGATAGACTCTGTAACCTATAGTGATAATTTCGTGGAAGCATTTCACTTGGATGCCTAGAACCTGAAACCAAGAGAAAACACTGACATATATTTCTCAATGTTTACATTTGTGCTTAATCATTTAATAAGTAGTTTGTTGTCATATGTATTTATGTCATATGTATAAATGGGTCTGTAGCCTACCCATTTTTAATTATTCTAAATGTCAGTAGCAAAATTTCAATATTCAACATCTCTAAAATCAAGAGATGTCCCAAAGGGGTAAGCAAAATGATATTTTATTGAGAGATCCTGTTCGGGGTAGGAAGAGGCAGAGTAAGCCAAAGGTTGAGGGATATTGTCTGGTTGGTGACAGCTGAGTAGGCTTAATCCCTCATTACCACTTCATTTCTTGAGGTTGTCCATCTCAAGATAGACAATCTTTTTGTCCACTTTGTTTCTTGAGTTACCCTAGGAAAATAATCACACGTGAAAGTTTGCTTGTGCATATTTATTTTTAACCATACACTCCAGTATACTTGCCAAGGATAAAGATACTATCAGGACAAATAGCTAAAACAACTTTACCTAGTCACCTGGGGGTTTGGGCACGGTCTTTTCATCCTTTTGGCTGTGCCAACTCTCCCATAGCCAGCTACATACATCTCTGATCAATCTAAGTGGTGCTACCTTGGCAAATTATAAGTAGCCCTCTACATTTGCAGCCACTTTGGCCAGTCAGCTGAGTCTATGCAGTTCTGTTTGCACACTGTCTTATATACACACTTAGTTTATATTTATTAATCCCTTTTCGATGGTCTATTTAGTAGTTCTTCAAACTGCTGCATCCACTAATCTGGGTAAAGGTAATTCCTGAGGATGTAACACTATATCCAGTGCTTGGCTTAGGTCAGTTCCAAGACTCAAAGAGCAAATACAAGTCGAACACTTATTACTATGTACTAAGAGATTAAAATATTTGTGAATATAGCAAATTAATTTTTTCAACCTCTAAGAGTATACACCAAAGCACTTTTTGTACTCAGCCCTGGTGCTGAGAATGGGTTTCGTATTTTTTAAAGCGTTAAAAAAAAAAAAAAAAGATTATGTGATAGAGACATATGTAGCTCCTTAAAGCCTTCTGTTCTTTTACAGAACAAGCTTACCAAACTGCCCAAGGATATACTTCTGGATTTCTTTTATGATCTCCACAAGTTAGCTTTCCCAAACTTACTGCTCAGGATATTCTTAAGCTATTTTTTCCCACTATACCTATTACATGTCCAATCAAATACTTAAAAAGGTAATGTGTCCCCTCAGCCACATGACAAAAATTATGCCAAACTACTATAAATAGTTCTTTCAAGAAAAAGTCATAAATGTGTTATAAAGGCAAGAGGAAATTTAAATACTGTCTTTCAAATAACCTTTGTACATAATATCAAAAGTTATTTTTAAACAACAAAAATCACAGACAGGGAACAATGCTAGATGTTAAGATAAAATGGCCAAGCCATGCTATTTATAGAGCCAAGGGTTTCAGAGTAGGTAGAATACTAAGGTGGGCATGAGAAGTACAGATAGATAAGTCTGGACATAGGAAACAGCACAAAAGATTGGCCAAAGGAGTTTGTGCTAATCATGAAAGGACATGATTAGAGGAGTGTCTAGGGATGATAGAGGTGAAAAGAATTGACTGGAGAGGCAGCAAACGTAGAGATAGTAAGGCATCTAATAGGACAGCAGCAGGGGGATGAAGTACAAGGAACAAGAGACATTGAGGAGTTGGAACTGACTGGATTTGGTGGTTGAAGAAACTGGGGGGCTAAGGGATAGAGGGGAACACAGAATACCACTAGGAAAGCTTGGGAAATAGATTTATACATAATGGCTGGGGATGGGATATAAGTTCAGATTTGAATATGTTGAGTCTAAACCATGGTACCTATGGGTTATACAAATAAAAGTGCCTATTTTCACGCTGGAAATCTATTCAAAGAAAATCATCCTGCATGTGAAAAATCTTTACATTCTAATATGTTTAGGATAGTGTCATTCACAATAAAAACCAGAACGTAACCTGAATGTCTAAAAATAACACAAAGGTTAAAATAACTTAGGATGTCCTCCGTTCCATTGAGTAGATGAATGCTGATGGCTGTAAAGACTGTCGAGCGACACAAAACATTCGATATTTAGTTTACAAAGCAGGACACAAAATTTTAGTCACATTATGAGCACCATCATGGTTTTTAAAACATTAAAAAAAAAAAAAAGGATGAGAGGAAGCATATCAAATGGCAGTATTAATTTATTAACATAAATATTATAAATATAGCATATGTATGTATACATGTATTAATTGGGTGGTTGATGACTGGGTTAGGGGTGATTTTTTAAAATTATTTCCCAAATTAATTTTAATTCAACTTTATAACTCACAATGGGAAAAAAGCAAACACACTATTTAAAAGTAAATTATTTAATATATATTAAAACAATTATTATAGGAGTTTCCAAGAAAGTTGGGGGAGAAGGACTCCTATAATATCTTTTATATATTCACATCTGCCTTTAGATCAAAATATGCTTTAGTAACTCCATTCTTTAGAAAGTGTGACTCCAAGCTGTGACTGCAACAATTAAAGTACTATAAATAGAGGCTGAAGGGAAAAAGCTCATTTTAAGGAACACAAGTATGAATTTCATCTTAAAATAATAGCTATCCTTTCCTAGAAGCAAGTTTTTAATAAAACTCTCTTGAATTAGTCATTTTTAAGTACTGGTATCATAAGGCGACTGACTGCATGCTAGATAAATGTGTATGACTCAAAATATGAATGACCTAGTTAGGGATATGAACATGAATAAGACTTTAAAACACATAAAATATCAATTGAGTACTAATAGCGTGTCTATGTGTATATCCATCCATACTCAACATAAATATCATAAATACAGCATATGTATGTAGACATGTGCACGTGTGCATACATGTGTGTGCATGCATATACAATAAATCTAAGAGCTATAACAGTTCAAATCTACTTTAACGAGATCTTTAATATTTTTATATTCTTCTTTGATTAAGCTCACCAAAGAAATAACTTGTAATAAAATGGTATTTTCCATTCATAATAGAAAAAAAATGAACAAAAAAGCCCAGTACTTTAGGTATGCTTGTGATCTCTCTTTTAAAAATCAAAATCCAAATACACAAGGATGTCTTTAAAGGTGTTTTGAATTTTTCCAGAAAAGGGTAGTTAAAAATTAGTTTCTGTCTACAAATTCTGGCCCTTGGTGTTACCAAACCAAATAGTTTAGTTTAGAGATAATGTCTCTTATTCACATGAAGCCCACCAAACCAGCCTGAGTCAGTGTATAAGGATACTGGTGTTTTGTGATGTCTTAGATCAAAATTATCTTCTAAAGGGGAATCATAATTCAAATGATCCTCAATATTTTCAATGGCTCAATGCTTTCCAAATAAATCCCAAACTGTCTCACATCGTTTTGCAAGACCCTCCAGAGAATCAGATCCCTAATCATTTTTCCAGGTTTCCTGCACTCCAAGAAAAGGGCATCACCTGTCTTTTTTTTGACATACCTAGTCACTTAGACCTTTGCTCACAGCACGCACTCACTCCACCACAAGAGATCCTCAAGGTCCACTCAAAAGTTCCTTCATCCACAAAACCTCACTGAGCTGTCTATCATCCAATCCCTTCTTCCACAACACTGAAAAGTGCTCTGTACACATTCACTCCTTAAATGCCCAAGTCCTGAGGCCGGTGGTGGTCACTGGCACTAAGAGCCCTCAGTGGGTTCAGCGTGAGAAGACTGGGGGCTGAGGCCCTTCCCTCGAGTCACACCTGGATAATGCTCACCCCCCACCTACCTGGCTTTCAGACTCAGCATCTTTCTGCCCTTACATTAAATCAGTCCTATACATTATCCATTTTCTTTTGTGAAAAAAAAGCTCTTCAAGATGTCAGCAAATTAGCAGAACAGAGAAAGTAATTTCTTATTCATTTCTGTGACCTTGATATCCTCAAGGAAATACAAAATTAATGAGAGGACAAGAAGAAGAGTGAAAGGACCTTATGGTGCTTTAAGAGCTATTTTAAGTGGTTTCAGTAGTTGATGGAATTTTTTTCCAATCGTGTCTAATTTCAGTTTAAAACTTATTCTTTTACAGAATCAAAGGGAAACCATATCACATTACCCATAGCTTAGCACTCTGAATAGGATGGAATGGAGTAGGGGAAGACAGGTGAGACAGGTAAACAGACTTCTAAGTGGGCAAGAACAGCCAGGGAACAGGGAGGTGAACATATAAAGAGAGGCTAAACGAACCCACATCGGATGAAGAAAAATAAATAATAAAAAAGAGGGACACTGTGCATATTCCTGAGAGCACACTCTCACTGCTCACTGCGAAACCACGCTCAGCGCCCGGTAATGAGTTTATTGAACAAATGCATTTCTCCTTCTCACTCTGACCACTTTGGGCTTCAAATGCGTCATGCTTCTTTGAAAGCTTTTATACACAGGAATCCTCTGCTGTGACCCTCCTTCCCCCAAGCTCTCCCTTTCTCCTCGCTAACTCCTACTCAGCCTTCGGACCGCAGTAATCATGTTTCTGGACAGTCTCCCAGCTCCCCTTTTGCTCTTATAGTATCCTGTTATTTTTTTCAAATGGTTATTGCAGTTTTTATTTATACATCTGATCAACTCTTTAGAGGACAGATAGTAAACTCCATGACAACAGAAACAGGTGCATTTTCTTCACCACCACCATATCATACCCCAGAAATAGCACAATCTTGGCACATAGCAGGCATCTTGGAAGCACTGGCTAAATGAACCAATTAAAAGCTTTAACTACTTGTTTGGCTTCATGACTTGCTGGGCTTCCCATACACAACAAAATCCCTAAGTCCTAGAATGGCTTCTGCTTGCCTCTCTGGTCTCATCCAACACCCTCCACACATACAACATGCAAATCCCCCAACAGACCACATTCTCTCTTACCTCCATGCCTTGCCCATGATATCCCCACCCCAGAATGCCTTCCCTGTCTAGGCGCTTCTTCAAGATTCAGCCATGGTACCATCTCTTCTGAAAGTCTGCCCTCATCTCTCTCTCAGGCTGGATTAGGTACTTTTTTACTGTGCTCTCCCAACAAGTCCTAGCATAGGACCTATCCCACTTATTTACTATCCTATTTATTCATATGGTTACTTAGATGTCTCTGTCATTAGACTGAGTTCCTTGAAGTTAGGGATCTAGCTAACAGTAATATATTAAGTCATGTGTGCGTGTGTGTGTGCGTGTGTTTCTGTTAAATCTACTGCTTGGCACAATCTCTGACAAAAGGACATGTATCTATTACATATACCTGGTCTCTACTGAATAAACACATTGAATGGCCATTTTGCAAACAGAAAAGATTAGTCCAGGCCATTTCATAAACTAGAAGATGCTTAAAAGAACTAAACTTGCTGTTACCAAGTCTTGAATTACCTTCTTATTTATGACATGCTCAAATTACTTCAATCATATCAATGCTGAAAAACAAAAAGCAAGGGATACTTAGAGAAATGTAAAATACTTACAAGAAGCATGAGCATAAAAGATCCCATATAGATGATCAGGAAAAACAATGAAATCATAGTTAGAGTAAGAATTCCACGAATCCACCAGTTTTTCCACCTAAAAGAAAATGTTTACAAAATTAGCATTACATGTGTTCTTAACTTTTTGTGTGTGTGTGGTTTCAGTATTGAGTTACCAGACTTACGGATTTTACCTAACTATACTTTAAGAATCTCTTACTTCATCTCATATAGTAACGACGAAAATAAAAACCAAGCAACCCAAACAGCATTCGATCACTCACTAAGAGCTAAATGAAATGTAAACCTTAAGTTAGCCAAAGAAAGAAACTAAATTTTGCACATTGTGAACGCAGATGAATCATGAAGCCAGGCAGCGAGGGGGTCAGCGTGGATGTGTGCACATTACTGCCAGGGTCATTCGGAAGGGAAGAAGGAGCCAGGTACAAAAGCCCCCTAGAAAGATGAATAATCCTTTGGGGTGTTAGACAAAAACAGTAATGATTTTAAGGTGGTGGAGACAGAGAGCACGGCCTTCCAGAGAGAAAAAGTAAAGAAAGGCTGACACAGAACTGAAAGTGGGGAGCACAGTGATTTCACTGAAACAAAGAAGGCACGAGGAAGTCAGTCGCAGAGGACAAGGCCAGGCTGAAAGTCATTTCCTTCTATTGCTCAGTGTGCTGCTGGCTTTCCTTGGTTAGAGGCTGGGCCATCGGTGGAAAAGTATTTTCTTATCCTCGAGCCATCACTTGTCTTTGCTGGCCTGGCAGGCTGAGAATTGATCTCCCTCAATCCTCGGGCTGATGGCCTTGTGGTACCCAGCTGCTCCCTCACCCACCTCGCCCTGGAGCCTCACACTTCACCCCTAGTGTACCTTACAAGTATTGTCACTCTTCACGGTCCTGTTATAAAAATGGCAGAAGCTACTGTATGAAACATGCAAAATGATTCTAATTCTACCTATATATGGATGATAGTTACTGAATCTAAAATTGCTGTCCCTGCTTTTATTCATTCTACACTCATTTTACTTATACTTACAGTAAAGTTTTTCTTTAAGACTGTTCCAATTTCTATGAATTTAAATGACAGCATTTAAATTACGTTACAAGAAATTTGGATTCAATTTAAAGTATAGTAACATATATGTACAATATCTAAGCACAGGTTTTTATTCTCCTTCCCATAAAAGAAATATTAGCTGATTTCATCCATTTATCAAATACTGATTACATTTCCTGCTTTCAACCACTCTCCAGTATAGTCCAGATATTTCTTAACTATTCTTTTGTCATGTCATTTCTGCACTCAAAATTTAAAATGCCAACAACATTAAGTCCAAACACTTTTATCTAGCTTCCAAGGTTTTCCATAAGGTGGTCAAACTACTTACTCGACTTTATTGCCCTCTACTGTTGAACAAACTATGTAGACTCATAAATTTCTCACAGACTGTAAGCAAGTGTAGTGAACTGAAGTGAACTGAAGTGAGTGTAATGTCAAAAATGCTACAGCTGAAAGGGTCCATTTAATGTCATAGATCTAACCCTTTACGGGTTAATGAAAGGATTAGGAAACTGGGCTAGGTCACAGAGCTCATCAGAGGTAAATAAAGGACGTAAGCCAGTCTCCTGATAATCCTGTCCTGCATGCACAAGACCCAGAATGTAACTTAGCCCTCCCTTATAAATGATCTGCAGACTCAGAATCGAGAACCTCTTCTAGGGAAGAGGACACTACCTGTCAGAGATCAACCCCTAAGTAGATGTTGCCAGTGTCTACGTGTACTGTGGTTAGATGCTTGGCCTCTAACTGCAGAGACTGGTAGCTGCTGAGAACCAGAGGTTTCACAGGGGAACCACTCCCTTCATATCATCCAAAAATTCCACAGGAACTAAAAACCGGGCCCTCGAGGAATGTATTCGATCCAGTTGCTTTTACATAGGTATTTCCCCTCTGAGAAAAATTCCCTTTCCCCAACAAGATCAAAGAGTTAATTCTCCTGTTTAATTTAACTAAATTAAATTTCCCAAGAATACCGAAAACCAAGTTAAGCACATACTCAAACATTATATATGTTACTGATAACAGTAACCAGGTGACTCCTTTCAGGGGAGAAGCACTGAATTTAAAACAGAGCATGACACGAAAAAAAATTATTGTTACTAAAAACCAGAAGATAGGCTGATTCTGAATTGAAAATTCTCAATTTCCTTTACCATGCTACCATGATCACAATAGAAAAAGCCATAATTTCGAGTCCAAGTCATCACTTCACAGATTGTTTTGGAAAAAGGAACTCAGAATCAGTAGAGGAGAATTTCATTCAAGTCTCATGTCTCAGGGGCCTGTATGAGCCAGAAATGAGAGTTCTAAAAGGTATATAATTAAGTAGTGTCCTTAAAAGTGATTTTCTAAAGTGGTTTACACACTTATTGTTCACATCAATCTCGAAATGTACGATGACTTACCATTACCTACCACTATTCAATAATGACAAAATTAAAAAAAAAAAAACAAAAAACCTATTTCCTAGTGACAAAAGCCTCATGAGTCATCAAGAACCTGGGCTAGCAAGGCAGTTCACCTGAGCCAAGAACTGGGGTGCAGAGGCGTCCCTCAAGAATAAACATGAACTCAGTGGACCATCTGGCAAAGAGCATGAGTTTTGAGAATGCCTATCTACCAGCCTTTGGAGAAAGTGGAGAGGAAGTATGCAGGTTCCCATAAAGAAGGAAAGTGGCATTATGGAGGCAAGAGCACCAGTAAGAATATGCCTGGATATTTCCTTGGTTTCTCAGCCTCAGTACTAGTAACACTTTGTGCCAGATAATTCTTTGTTGTAAATTCTATGCGTTATAGGGTATTTAGCATCATCTCTGGCCTCTACCCACTAGATGCCAGAGGTCTCCAGACATTGTCAAATGGCCAATGGGGGTAGAGGGGAGGGGCAAAACCCAGGCATTTTCCCTGGATGAAGGAAGACCACTAAGCTAAACTCATAGCCGAAGAAAGGTTTCACTAAAGCACAAAGCCAGACTTAACTGGCTAATGAATATTCATATACACAGGTCAAGAAACAAATTGGGACAAATTGCCAAGTGACTAAAGACCTTTCGGGCCCCTTTCCAATTAACAACTTAGGCTCTTTCTAACATTATATACTAAAACCTTAAAAATGAGCAAGCTATTTTAATTTTAAGATTTTATCCTAAGGAAATAATTATAGATACCAAATAAAAGTTAACTTTGAAAAAAAATGTTTAATGCAGTTATTTTTAATCATGAGAATTTAGAAATCACCTAAATACCCAGCAATAGCTGTTTGGTTGAGTAAATTAAACTATAGTCATACAAAGGAATATAGTACGCATCCTTAAATATTTAAGTATATTTAAGGATGTTGTTCCTAATACCATAGAATGAAACTGACAAGAGAAAAGCCGGAAACAGAACAATGCTATTTTTACATCACACACCACACACACACAAAATATGCAGAAGAAAAAAGCTTCAGAGTAAAGATCACAATATTTTAAATATCAGTGTCTTGGTGGGAGGATTATAGGAGTTTTTTTGCAATTCATGAAAATTTCTTATGTAACCGGTATTTTTAATCCTATGCATCTACAACTTCTAAATCATTGTAAGGCAGACAATTTTGGGTACTAGATAAAGAGACTAAAATGAATAAAACATAGATTATGAAACAGTTGTGTAATCTTTATTGTGAAGTTTCTTGAGAAAATTGAAACTAGTCTCATATCATCTATTCATTTTTCAAAACAAATTCTTTCACAGACAGCATGATGACTAGGTTCAGAATGGGATTCTATTGCTTACCAGCTACATGACATAGGATATTTAAAATTTCTGTGCCTCAGTTTCCTTGTTTATAAAATAGGTATATATCTACCTATGTTACACAGTTGCTGTGTGGCTAAGTTAGTTGGTAAGTGTAAAGTGCTTGAAGCCATGCCTAGCACATAGTGTATGCTCAAATAAATATCAGTTGCTATTATTTGCTATTGCTACTTTTATATGGGGAGAGGGGAGCCTTCATTATTAAGAAATTATTATGAATGACACATAAGAAACCAGCATCATTCTTATATAAATTCACATAAGAACTATTCAAATCTAAGATAGACTTGATAAGATTTTAAAGCAAAAGTACATTTGTGCACTAGATCGTAAAAACAATTGGGATCTAGACTATTAAAATAATAATCACGCTTTTAATAATGGACAGCAAAAATTTGTTCTATTCATTAAAAAACTATGGCTATCTTCTAGAAATTAAAAACAGAAAAATTCATATTATATTTACTAGATATGACTAAACCAGTTTTTTTCACTATGATCCATGGGTACTAAAATCAACTTAGTAATTCACATCTAACATTTTTTGTTCAATAACATAAAACCGTATCAAACAGAAATCACACACAGTAATCACGAGAATTGCTTCATAACATTTTGTAGCAGTTAAAATATACATCTGTGTGTCTCTTGGGATGAGGTATAAAATATATCTCTTACTGTCACAGTCAAAAAAGATGAAAAAACACTGTCCTATACCAACATTTAAGATTTCACATATTAATCTGGATAAAAGCTTACATTTATTTTATAAATTTTATAATTCATATTACTAAAGCATACAATGGAGGGCAATATAAAATTAACTGAAATTTAGTGGTGATTATACATTTTAAAATGTAGCACAAATATAAAATTGAATAGAGTTTTAAACAATAATATAAAACCCAGTTAAAAGAAAAAAAAAAATGGCCTAGTTCTGTCTGGCATTTGAAAAACGGGGAACAGAGAAGATGGAACTTTCCTTATTAGATATTCCAACATTAGAAAAGGAAAGCTGATGTGGTAAATGGATCACTGGTTTCAGAAATTTGACAAATTGAAACAAGAATCTCAGGTCCGTGTCTTACTAGCTCCACCTTCACCAGTTAACCTCTCAGACTTGGTTTTCTCATACTTCATCAGATTTTAAAGTTTACAGGAAAGGATGCACATTAAGCATTTAGTACTGTGACTCACATACAGTGAAAAAGTATAAGCCTTCTGTGAAAAAGTGAAATTTATTACATGGACCAGGATAACCTCATAACTTATCTTGTGCACCCATTATATTCATCTTCACCCAATCATACCTCGAAGATAAACCAGATAGAGCTTTCTTGAGGATTTCAGGGGTTCTATCTGAAGATGGTGGAATTTCTGGAATATCAGAATCTGTTCTGGAATCCAAATCTCCATATCTGTCATCAATATCTGTTTCCTAAAATTAAAAAAAGGGAAAATCACTTTGTAAAACAGAAAAAAAGCACTGCGCCTGCCAATGCATGTGTCTGTCGCTCAGTGTGTCAAATCTTAGTTAAACGACTCGAAACAAAGAAACAACTATTAACTTCGCTTGACTGTCCATACACACTCTTGTACTTCTTTGTTAGGAAAGTTTGATGATCTTTACTAAAATCTATTAACATAAAGGATTCATTTAAATAAAAGACACAAAAAGAAACTCTTATATTGTATAAATCAGAAATTTACCGAAAGAATCAAATATTTACTCTTTTGCTAATTCTATGTAGATTCTTATCATCTCTACACAGTCCTTTTTTATTTGATTACAATCAAAGCGTCGATAAATGTAATATATTACACTGGCAGAGCATGATATACAAAATATATATATAATTCCAATTTGAAGTTGTTTGTTATGCTATAATGTAACAGTCTCCACACCTATACTCCTACCCCCAGCAACCATCTATAAAGAGTGCTACACATATATATACTTTGGGAGAATGGTTTACAGAGAGAAAAATTGGGGCAAGGGGGCCGAATTGGAGTAGAAGAGTGAGAATGTCTGCAAGAGGCAAATAAAAGAAGATGGAACATTGAGCAGAACATTAGGCCTAGGAATGAAAGCGCCTGGGGATTCAGAACGTTCAGGAGTCTCAAAAGAAGCCCTTAGTAGCGCCCCTTTTGACTTTCTTCATCCATAAAATGGAAGCATTTAATATAATGCTGAAGACTTAGTGAAGTCAGAGAAGTGAGCTATTACTAGGATTGAATCAAGTCTTCCAATTCCTCATTAAGTGGCTTACCAAGTAAAATTTTAGCTTCAGGGGAATATTTTCAGTTTTCATAAATCAATAACAAGCTTTTGTTTACTAACTATACCTTTCTTACAATTACGAAATTAAATGTCATTATACCCAAATGACAAATGAAACAGACATGTCTAATTCCCACCATGACACTGAGAGTCTGTTGGCCCTAAAGCAGTTTAAATGGAAAGAAAGATACTGACTTAATAAACCACCAGATAAAACATTCCCTGAAAATGTCAGGGTACCTGCTGTCAGTCTGACATGCCAGACAGGTCTTTGACAATGGAACCCATCACTTTTTTTCTTTTCCATGCTCCTCTTTTTCTCACCAATAACCCAGAACGTTGCAGGAGTGGTGGGAGTGGTGATGGTCTCCACTAGATGGTGACCAATGGAAGTGGCTCCATGAGACGACATCACCACGTTGCAGAAAATGAGTGCTAGACTAGGAATCAGGAGTTGCCAGTACTAATTCTACCTCTACTCTACCCAGCAGAGTAACAAAGGGCAAATCACTCAACCCTGAAAAAATTCAGCCTTTGGTTTCCTCATAAAATGAGAGCATTGGACCAGAATTCAAATTGTGATCCTCAAAACACTATGCTTTCAGTGAGCCACTTCAAAGTCCACTTGTCAAGAATGGTGATGCGTCATAACCCTCTCCTCCCACCCTGAAGAAACCTGTCCTGCTTTTAATTACTTAAGCTTCTGGCTTCTACTTTATATACCATAGAGAAATGCAAAATGAAAAAAATTAAGATTTAACTAGGCTTCTTCAATTTCATTCTAATAACTAAAGAATGATGGCATTTTAGAACAATTTTACTCAGCTACTGGAATTAGTAGCAGAGACTTTTGTGTTTCTGCATCTCTTGTACAGATCCTGTTATGAAGAGGCCAGACTTGACAAGGAAAACAAAAGTGTGACTAGAGATCATGGAAAGAAGGAACTAGTACTTTAAAGATCAACTGATCAACTAGAGTCATGCGGCTTGTGCATGCTGAATGAAGGTACACAAGATGTTTAAGAAAACCAAATTAGGATCTTCTTCTCAAACCCATAATTTAAAGACAATAATCCTCCACTTTCCATTGTAAGTCCATGCTCTCCTACCACCTACCCGGTGATCTCATGCACCCTCATAGCCTCCTTTCCATCTCTCTATAGACTCATGACTCCCCACAAATCTGTGTCTCTACCTCCCAGCGTGCCATCTCTAGTGAGTTTTCCCCAGCACCATCTGAAATTCAACATAAGCAAACTGACCTCTCTTCCATACCAAACCTGCTGCCCCTTCTGTATGTCCTACTGAGGTGAAGACACCACCACCATACAGGAAACCAATTAACTCCCATCAGAAACCTGGCTATCAACTTAACTCTTGCATCTTCTTTGACCAAAGGACATTCACTTCGTACCAAGACTGTCATTCGTCTTTCCCCCATGTCCATCCTCGCCCACTGTTACTACCCTTCCTCAACATCCTCTCCCCCGTACCTCAGCACCTCATCCCCCTGCCCTCCATCCTGCCCTCTCTACTTTATTTTCAACATAAAAAAATAATCGTCCTAAATTGCAGATCTGATCTTAACACTCCCCAGCACACAAACACAAGAAAAAGTCAAATTACTTTGCACTGCTTATACTGTTGATGACGGGGCCCTGCTCCTCCGGCCACTCTTTGGTGACGCCCCTGTTTTTGCACCATGTCATTCTCTCTCTTGCATCCAGATGTTTGTTCTATCTACAATACACGAATTACACATTCTCGCTCTTGCCCACATCCTGGTTCCAATCCTCCCTTCTCCATTCCTCTAACCTGGCTACTGCTCTCTCATCCTCTGACCTCAGCTTCAAGGTCACTTCCTTTAGAAATGTCTTCCCTGACCTCCAGCTCCAGGTTAGCTGCTCTTCAACTGTTTCCACAATATCCCTACTTTGTACCTATTAGTCTATATTCAAATTATCTGTTGCTTGTCTGTATTCTCTAGTCACTCACAAACTGTGAGAAGAGGAAATATCATCCACTGGCCTCACTCTTGAATCCCAGGAAGGCAGCAGAGGACTTTGTACAGTGGCTGGCATTTATTAAGCGATACGTAAATATGTGTTGAATGAGCTGAGTCTGTCAACTCATGCTAACATTTAAGATTAAAATAAGTTCCCATTTGTTCTTGCTAGCTAAGTAGTCTTGACCAAGTCATTTAGCTTGGGACTTCAGTTGTACTTACGTAAAATGAGAACTGACTGACTCTTTTCCAAATATAAAATTATAATGAAAATATGTCCGGTAAATGATGGCTTAAAGTTAAATACAAGTTTCTTTATTATCTTTTAAATACAATTCCTACAGGGAAAGTGTACTTAGAAAATAAGCAAAGGCATTTTACAAGTATAGATTTATTTATTCTTCACATTACCATAGAGATAGGTAAATAATCGCCTCTGTTTTGTAGATGAAAAAAATTTAGGCTCAGAAAGATTAAGTAAAGTGCTCACATTTACACAGTTTTGAGTAATGCAGCTGTGATTTGAAACCATACTGGAGGGAAATTAAAATGGCGATTCTCTCCCAAATTGATCTACAGACTCAGTGTAATCCCAATAAACGTCTCTACAGGTTTTTTTATTTTTATTTACGTTTTTTTTGTAGAAAATGTTCGGGCTGATTCTAAAATTTGTGTGAAAATTCCAAGGACCTAAAAGAGCCAAAATAGCCTGGAAAAGAGATCAAAGTTGAAGAACTTACACTACCTGTTTTCAAGAGTTATTACAAAGCTGTAATCAAGCTGTGTTACTGACATAAAAGAAAAAAATGATCCATGGAAAACAGAATAAGGAGTGCAGAAATAAAACCACATAAATATGGTCAAATGATAGTCAACAAAGTTGAAAAGGTAATTCAATGGACATGAAACAAGTGGATACTAACATGCAAAAAAAAAAAAAGGATCATAGGCCTTTATATAAAACTATAAAACTTTTATAAAATCTTTATAACCTATAGTGTATTAGGCAAAGATTTCTTAACTATGATTCATAAAACAAAAAACTGATAAACAGAACTTCATTAAAATTAAATTTTTCTGCTTTTCAAAAGGTACTGTTAGAATAAGAAAACAAGCCACAGACTGAAAATATATTTGCACATATTTCATGTATCACATATGAAATAAAGGTCTTGCATTCAGAATACATAAAAAACTCTCAAAATTCAATTTAAAAAAACAACTAAATTAAAATACATAGGCAAAATATTTTAACAGTCATTTCACCAAAGGCAATACACAGACGGCAAACAAGCATATGAGAAAATGTTCAACATCATCTGTTATTAGGGAAATGGAAAATCAAAACCACAAAAAGATACTACTACACATCTATCAGCACGGCTAAAATTTGAAAACTGGACATATCAAGTGATGGAAGAATGTGGAGAAACTGGAACTCTCTTACGCTGCTGGTGGAAACGGAAAATGGCATACCACTTTGGAAAACAGTTTGGCAGTTTCTCAAAAAGTCAAACACGTGTCTACCATATGACCTAGTCATTCCACTCCTAGATTACCTGGCCAAGAGAAATGAAAGTATATAGCCACACAAAGACTGAACACAATGTTCATGGCAGCTTTATTTGTAATAGCTCCAAATTGGAAATAGCTCAAATGTTCAACAGGGAACAGGACTAACTGGGCTACAACGGTACAATGGAATAATATTTGGCAATAAAAATGAGTGAACTATTGATGCCGCAACAATACGGATGTCACAATAATTATGCTGAGCAAAAAAAGCCAGACAAAATGTACATATAGTATGTATACGTATATGTGTGTATACATACATGTTATGAATAGTATTTCACTTATATAAAATTCTAGGAAACACAAATTATAGTGCCAGAAAGCAGATCAGTGATTTTCTGGAGGTGAGGAAGGAATTACAAAAGGGCAGGAGCAAACTCTGGATATGCTCTTGATTGTAGCGATGAATTCATGGGTGTATACATGTGTCAAAATTTATCAAATTGTGGAGTGTAAGTATGGTCAATTTAACATAAGTCATTTATAGCTCATGCTGACTCCTGGAGAGCGACAGGAGCCAGTGGTCAGGAAAAAGAGGATTAAGGTGCTTGCTTCCTAATAGTGGAGACTGAAAAGA